TATTTTTTTACTTTACATAATAAAAATAAATACAGTACAATGACCAATTGCAAAGACAGACAGGCAAAATCTAACTGAAGCAGGTACAGAAAAGCTTATGTACAGTACTTAATAAGAAATTAAAGCTTAACAGATTTTTATGAACTTCTGATCAAGTAGATATATCAAATATTAAAAACTGTGGTAATTATAAATTTTTTATGTATTTACAGTTGAAATAATTTGCAGTAAGAAAAAAAAACATGAAGATGATATAGAGCAAGCAGAACTTCACATGCTTGAAGAAAATGGTTTCTTAAATATATCAATGCAGCTTCTAGGAATGTATACAAGTTTTAATGAGAAAGTTTTATAAACATTATTTCAAAAGCTTAAAACTTTAAATCAACACAGTTTAGAGAGAAAATTTTAGTGATCATTTATAATTCTAATAATCTGTTTTTATATTAGAATATCAATTCTCTGCTAAGTTAAAAATTGAGTGAAAAATTTGGACAATTTATATTTTTTAAAATTCCAGTGAACAGGTAAAAATTGTTAATTTGCCATTTTCCATATTAAATTTCACATATTTTATATTAATAAAATGTTTAATATTTATTTTAACTTTTACTAATAATTTTGAAGTAAAAAAAAATCTGAAATCTTAATTATTCATATGTATAGAAATACATAAATACATTTAAATTAGAAATGATAAATAACAACAAACTCACAAAAATATTACATATAGCATATAAAAAATGAAGCCATTGTTAATTTCATAAACTAACACATTTTTTGGATTGATCAAAATATTTCTTTATGTTCAAGAATAGATACTCTTTTTACAGCTTTTATCATGCCATAAAAAAATAGTTTAACAAAATTACATATAAAAATTTATACTAAGAACATGTATTCTTAGAAATAAACTACTATTCAAAAAAGTGTTTAGTTTAGAATGATATGAATAGATTTGCATCCCACAAACTATACAGCTTTCCCCTCCTAACAATACTGCTCTTTCCATTGTTTAATTTAAAATCATCAATGCTAAAAAATAAATGTGTGTATTGATATCAAATTCTATTTTCAATATCTGCTAAGTTGATTTTGTGCATAAACATTTACTAGGAATTTAAACTTTACAAAGTAATCAATTTTTTTTTTTTTTTATTACTTTTTAGTCTAAAAGGAGATCATACAATGATTTTCTCACTGATAAAACAAACAGTAGTGACATTGCAACTTTTTAGTATCTTAAAACTTTATAATTATTTTTATACAGTAGACCCCTCTATAACAATATTGATAATTCCATGTTATATGAATTCCACGTTGTACAAGTCACTTAGATTTTACAAATACGTGTGCTGGGCTGTGCACGACTCACATATTTGTAAAATCTAAGTGACTCGTACAACACGGAATTATCAACAGTGTTATAGGGGAGTCTACTGTATTCTAATTTCTGTATTAAAAATCTATGAATGGCAATCAGAATCAAAACCACACATTCATTTGAAATTTTATTCAAAAATACTATATTTAAAGTCTATAAAATTCACTAATAATCATGGACTGTATGTAAGTTAGCATATTATTCATTTAAATAAAATTTATCAATAGCGGATATTTATATATCTACTAGATAATGGTATCATCAAATACTTTAATAACTTGTACTAGTTTCTGTCAATCTTATATCTTGTGTATCCAATAAAAGAAACCATACAACAATTTCTATTATAAGTCAAAAGGTAAAAATCCTAGGCAAATTACATGAAGTAGGAAGTAATTTAGTCTAGAGATAAGTGTTAGGTGCCATCTCTTCATAATTAATAAATAATACTTGAATTTTAATTGGTAATTAGTAGCATTAATACAGCCTGATGTAATAAAGTAATAATTTGGCTTGAATATTTAATAATGAAGAATGTGTTGGGTTCAAAATTTTACTAACAATTTAACAAAACAGATATGTTTGGACCGACAGTGTATGTTCTTTATATATACATACAGTATATATAAATTTATAAAGAGGAAGATGTTCACCTCCTACTGAGAAAAACAATGGAGATTAAGAAGCATACATATAGGGCTGTCACTAAGCCCAGTCCTTCATCAAGAGAGTGTCTAACAAATATCTATCAGAGTTTGGTCCCAAAAAAGATATTTACATCAGTTTGTTAATATGATGCCTGAATTAATAGATTATTGCAATAGGATTTATTATCCATTGGTTTTTATTTAAAGGATAAGCTAAAGTAAGCTATTGGATTCATACCATGGAAATGTAAATTGTCTTAATATTTCATATGGATCTGGATTATCATTGCAGAGAATATTAGAGATGAGAACTTTCTGGTTTTGAGTAGGACTAGAGATAAGTTCTCTTTCATTTTTCCCCATCAATATATACATATGCATATATAATAAAACCACGAGATTGTTTCACCTCTTGAATACAAGATTTTAGAAATTACTATTTTGAAATTAATAAACACATTTTATATTAATTACTACTAATTAAACTCAACATATTTTTGCAATTTCAGTGGTAATCAAGACAATTATATAAAACTGTGTTGATTTAAATAAGATTAATAAATTTCAAATAATAATCATTTACTGAAAATCAGAACTTTTAAAATTTATGACTCTTCACTAAAACATAGTAAATTTTAGTTTTAATTTAATTTATAAAAATAATTCAAAGTATATATTAATTTTTAATAATGATCACAAAAAACTTGTCATCTGTTCTTAAAAATAATAAAACATACATAGATTAAATATTTCTATTAAGCGCACACTATTTTTATAAACAAAAGAATTTATAATATTTGAAATTAATATACAGTATAGTACATTTATTAATAAAACTTTGTACTCTTACATTATGTACAGCATAACAATTATCAACTCAGTTTATTTCCACAAGTCTAGAGCAAAACAAGTAGAAAATTTACTACTTTTTCTAAAAAGAATATTAGATATTTTGTTTTTTAAAATTAAGTGTATATACAAATGTACAAAATATATAATTTAATTACAAGTTTGGTAAAATACAATGTACGTTAATTTTAATAATCCAAATAGATTAATGTATGTAGATTTTAGTAATGAGTGTTGCAGATTTTTGTAAAGGGCATATTCTTTGTTTACTACATTCATGCTCTTAATAATATACAAATTTAATAATGATCACTTATCACTACACCAATTTATATTTAATAAAATTATATATATATATATAAAATATTCATTCAATATTTAAATGCACATTTCTCTTTTTATTTAAGCCAATTATTATTTTTTTCAATAATATTTTTATGTTCACTCTAGAGTCTACACCAATTAATTATATAATAACAAGAAAGTAGAACAAGAATTTAAATTCCATTCCAATGTAAACTCCTTAGTGCTAAAAGTAATTATGTTTTTGTTTTTTAAATAATTTAAATGAAAATATTATTCATTATTTTTAATATTGTTTAACTGAATGCTTTTAGAGAATCCTTCTGAGAATGAGATAAAATGCAGTTGTTAAGCTTTTAAGCAATTTCTTATTTTAAATTTTTGTATTAATTAATATATACAAAACAAATTACTGATATATAATTAGAACTTTACACAAAAAAAGGAGGAGGAAAAGATATTTTTAAGTAATTTTATGTTCAAAATATTTTATTTTTCTTTAGTCTTTAAACATTTTGATAACCCTACTTCACTTTTAAATTATTCTTAATACAAATCACATATTTATGAAAACAGTTTTTGTTTGGATACACATTTTAGCACTATAAATTATGGATTATGTCTATGGTAGATCTATGGTATTTTCAAAATAATGTTTCTTTTTATATTCTATTTTGTAAATTTTAATATAAATTTAAAAAAGTTTTTCCTTTTAAATAAACACACATATTAAACAGCTTTTAATTCAATATTCCATATTTTATAGTGCTAAAATGTGTATCCAAACAAACTGTTTTCATATATATATTTTTTTTAATTAATTCTCTCTAAAATACTTTCAATTTATATGTGAACTTAGCTGTATATTTTATATATAACTAACCTACCCATTTTAACGTCTCTTGAAGTAATTTTTTTCTAGTTATTACACAGATTAAAATAAATTTGCTCATTCAACATTTCAATACTAAACACATTATTAATGATGTATTTTGTATATAAACTGTTAATATTGAAATAGATCTAAATTGAAAATCTTTTAAAACTTTTTTGTGGGATTTTTAAAACTGGGGTTTTAAGTTTAACAACAGTATTCTGAAGTTAGTGGTGATAAATAAATAAATATAGGGGTTTGTTGTGTCTGTAATTTATTAGTTTTATCAAACTAAATTACAGTATTGTTTGCAACAACTCATTTACTATTTTATACAGACATTATAACTGTAGAGAGGATGGAAAAGTAATACTTCAATGAAATGCAGTATTTACAGAGCAAGTACACATTTGCAAACAATATATATTCTATAATAATAAAAGAATAAACGAACTCTGAGTCTTTTCTGTGAAATCAAAAAGGAATGCAGTGTGTTTATTTAAAAGAAATCTTCAATATAGAAATTAAATGATCTATTTAATTAAATAACTTATTTTATTGATTAAATTAAATCAATATTATGACCATACAAATAATTTTGGGTCTATGCAGAATTATCGTTTTTAATTGTCCAACTAGAGACAGATTGTAACAACTTAAAACCAACAAATGACATTAAAAAATACATTCAATACAATTGACGCCGACCTTTTCTTAGAGGATCCAGCTGCAAGAACACAGTATTAAAATTCTTCACAATATCACTTAGTTAAAAAACAGTTGTATTTATATCCATCTGCTGACCTCTGTGCCTAAGTGATATTGTGAAGAATTTTATTACTGTGTTCTTGGCATCGGATCCTCTAAGAAAAAGTTGGTATCAATTGTATTGTATGCATTTTTTAATGTTCATTTGTCGGTTTTAAGTTGTTACCATCTGTTTCTAGTTGGACAATTAAAAAGGATAATTCTGCATAGACCCAAAATTATTTGTATGATCATAATATTGATTTAATTTAATCAACATAATTAATCCTTGGAACTTTGTTAATAACTTATTTTATTGTTAAAGGGATTAAAACATAATCCATCATTGAAAAAACTGAAACTATAAAGATTAAAATAATTCATAAAAACTAAGCGTTTTTACAGTCTTGAGGAAAAAAATTATTTGATGTAGTTTAAACAATTCAACATTTGGATGTAATTTCACTGGAAAAAACAATGTAAACAACTTATTTTATAGTTTCTAGCCTTATCAAAACTAGACACTAAAGTTTTTAGTAACTATATATTTTATTTTCATAGAAAAATGATATTTCTATTTATGATTATAACAGTTACGGTGTTATGGATATAGGCAACAGTTATAATAATAGATTTATTATAACTGTTAATTTATTATAACTTGAGTACATTTGATAAATAAACATTTGTTATATTTAAAATTTTAAATTATATGTATGGTAATAGGGCACGATGTTTCATCAGTGACGTTAAAATGCTTCAAACTTTTATATTTTTTTTTGCATATAAAATGTTATAAAAAGGAACAAACTTAGGATATTTTCATAATGAATAAACATAATTACATTACAAATGTTTTTATACAATTCTCTATAGGAAATAAATATAAAATCCCCAAATTATATTACAATATTTTAGAATGAGACTTTTTTAAACTTATTTTTAGCTACTGGCATTACATAAGATACTACAATCATTCCTTCTTGATCTCTTACCAAATCTTCTGAAGGGGCACACCCCGTTTCCATTTTTTTATATACTAGCTGTTGACTATAATTGTCTTTCAAACTATTTTGAAGTATGCAGTTTCTGTAAAATAATACATAATATAATTATAAATATAAAAGAAAAATGAATTTCAAAATTAAAAAATTTACATCATGAAAAATTACATTCATTTAATTTAAGCTATTTCTATTATTAATACTTTCCTGTAAAATAATGAGTGTATGGAAAACATAGTCACTTATTAAAGAGCTGATAAAAATTGACATAATAAGTTAATTTGCAGCCTGAAACATGGTCACATGAAAGACACCATGTCAAAATCTATAACGAGTACCAGATTGACTGTTCAATCAGATAAGCAAAAATGAGAAAGGCAATCAGTATCTTGCTGAAAGGATATGCCATTACTAGAAAACACTGTAGGAAAAGCTAGACTACTTGTGACCAGTTTGCAACTAAAAAAAAGTGTTAAATTGTTAAATAGGGAGAGGAAAAGAAAAACAGATATACAGAATGATCTGTGGAGAGACTCAAAAGACAGACAGGAAGGAGAATCATGAAATTGGACATATAATAAGGAGAGGACTTTGAGGAAGAAAAAGAAAACATACTGAGAGTATATCAAATAACTTTTGACTGAGGTGTAATCCAAGTTGCCAAATCCATCTGAACATTGTTGTCAAACTCTGAAATGAGAATATCAGTGAAATCAAGGACAAACCATCCAGATTACCAAGGTATAGATCACAACACATCAGATGAGATCTGGGTGATACTCTCTCTATGTTCAAAAAAGATTTTATATATTCTCCTTTTACTTTTGAACTTAATAAAAATTTAGTTAATGTAAATGACTGTCACTTTCCAAGAACCTACATGATACTAGTCTTTTGAGAAGCGGCATCAGTAAAATCTATGTTAAAGTTTGCCCAGGCCAATCACTCAAGCTTGACATAACATTTTACTTAATAATTAAGGGCAAAACTTATGTATTGATAAACAGTGACAACTATTTCTTATCCCTAGAACTAAAAAACACATGTCAATGATGAAATGTTTATTTTAAAGAATTTGACATATAGCTGAAACTTTTAGACTTCATAGGATAATAGCAGTGATGTTGTAAAGATGACTGTGACAAAAATTTCTGCTGGCATGTAGCCTATAAAAATAATGATAGAAAAATGTCAATGTCATTATTAAGTTACACACAAGATTGATGGCACCTTAAGAACATCCTTCAAAATAATCTATTATCCATGCAAATTTTGGGTAGGTTCACAACACACTGTACAGATCTCTGCCATGCATTCGCAAGATTGCCATTTATTTTGAATCTTTCTCTAATTCTTTCTTCATTTTGAGAAAAATAATAAAATTACATGGGCTAAGATGAGAAGAATACAGATGTCCCAAAATTATCCATTCCCATTTCTAAACATATGTCTTAACAGTACACTATATGTGCCATAGTATTATTGTGAAGGATAATAGGTTTTAGTGCCAGCAGATGGGATGTTTCTTCAGATCCTTGTATCATCATCATACAACTCAAACAGACCATGGGAGGATATGCTAGATGGGTTGGTTGCCAATGTCATTGCACCAAAAGAAGTACTATATTTACAGTACAATTATGGTTCTAGTATCAAGTTGTTCATAATGTAATAAGAATTAAAAAGAGCATTAAATATTCCATATGCATCTTAGTTTTTGAAATAAAAAATTGTTGTCACTATTTATCCAATGATATTATAATTAATAAATCCAGTATCTAAAGCCAGACCTTATCTGGCTAGTCCAATAAAATCCAGCTTACTTGAAACTTGGTAAATGTTACAGGTCTAGGTTTTCATGTTGTTAAAAGTAAAAAAAATATGTACATATAAAATGTCCTTTCAATGTTAGCCCCAAAATGACAATAATAAGTAGCATCTACTTCATAAGAAAATTTTAGAATAATTATTACAGATATATTTATTTTCTACATTACTGTTAAACTGATGATTAAAAGTAAATAATAAAAGCTAAATAATCAAAAAAATTTGTGATGTAACGAATATTCAGTTACTATTCAGTATTCAGCCTGTTTTTCACTATTCGGCCGAATACTGAATATTTAATCACTATTCGACCAAATACCGAATACCTAAAAACAGGAGTAAGAAATAATAAAAACACAGTAAATTAATCATTTTGGTATTTAGATTTAATGTTATCGGGTTAGTGTTGTTTGTTTATATTTATTTATAACTTATAACATGCACAAAATAAAAAAGAAAATAATATTAGTCACATGTATTCACAATTTACAATTACAAAGATCAGCACACGTGCAGTACACACCTATTCATTTGAGAATTGTCACACATCTGAGGGTCTGACCCTGTCTATCCTTTTTAAGTGCTTGTCTCTGCTCTTCCCTTTCTCTTTCCTCTATCACTCTAGTCCATGTATGCCTACGCATACCTCATAATAAGTGCTCACGATACTTTTGATTCGTCACTTTTCCGTCGTAGATTTCCCATTTTACAATTACGTGACTCATAGCCTGGTGATAACGGAGAAAAGAGACAGATAGGACGTCAGTATAAGTCACAGTTATGATTTCACAGATTCGAGACAGCTTGGTGCCCGAACGGCCCCAGGATTTCACCTGTGCATGCTAAGTGACTTTCATTACAAGCATTTAGCTTTCCGAAGTCTATGACAACAATTGTTTGGTGTTGATGGCCATGAATTTCGCACCAATAAGTTGCTTCAACTTGTTCGATTATATTATCAACTCAATTTCATATTTATTTTCACATTTTCACTTTGCGGTCCTTCTCTGTTCTTTTCCGTTATTTACATGTGTAAGTCATTTCACTGTTATCCACATTTGATATCATCATTTATCACATACTGCCATGACGCTCTTGTCTGTCCACTATAACTGTCAAGAATTAACGTGATTGGCGAAGCATAGTGACAGTGGGCCAATAGAGAGCAGGGTCTTTGCCATAATGCGGTTTATGTGCCAATTTTCATACGTGCATTAATCAAGCCAAATGGTATGGCCGAATATTCGGTATTTGGCCTGAGGCCAAATATACTATTCATTGCAGCATAAAAAAAATTATTTAAAATCTTAAAATACATTTGTACAATTAAAAAAACATTTACCTTCTAATTAAATAAATTATCACCATAAAGAAGATAACCACAAGTATACATAGTATTACTGTTCCCACCATCCATCCATTAATTCCTAAAACAAATAAATAGTTCAACATTAAAGTATGGCAAATACAAGAAATTCTGAATTAATAGAATACAGTAAACTCTCATTTAATGCAAATAAAATATAACCACACTTTAAATAGAACAGTGAAAATTTCTTTAAAAACAAATTTTATGTAAAATTTTTAGTTTTAATGAAACAATACATAAAAACAATAAAAGCCCTTAGTAGTACTATACAGCATTTACAATAAAAACAAAAATAAATTCTCTCTCAATATCCCAATATTGTACTTATTGATATAGATTTTGTAAATGACTATTAATATTTTAACATTCTGGTATTTTTGAAACCATACCAGTAATTGTTAGTAATTTGAACACAAATCAATTATTGTATTTATTCAGACACAAACCTGAAATGGCAATAATCATCAAAAGTCAACTGAATAAAGTTTAATGATGAGATTTGCCAAGTGTCTGAATAAATACAATAATTGATTTGTGCTCGAATTACTAAAAATTACTGGCATGGTTTCAAAAATAACAGAATAAGAATTTCAAACCTGAAACGGCAATAATCATCAGAAGTCAACCGAATAAAGTTTAATGATGAGATTTGCCAAGTATCTGAATAAATACAATAATTGATCTGTGTTTGAATTACTAATATTTTAACATATATTTTATAAATTTGTCAAATACTACAAACTACTTAATTAACCTAAAATAACCCAATAAAATCTATTTATTCATTTGTAGTCTGTTTTTGACCCCCTTTCTTTGTATTTACAGAAAGTTTAGAAAATATTTGCATAGAATTACATATTCTGCTTTGTATACTTTCCCTATACCTAGGTGTGCAAATTCTTTTAGTTCTCTACAAAATGTCTTTATTGTTATCTTCTGAAACTTATATGAACTAATTTTATAGTTTTGCACCCAGTATAGTTTAGTGTCTCACATAAAATACTGCAAACTGCTTTTTGTTTTGGGAGTTTTGTGTGGGATATGATGAAAAACTTGGATATGCAAATACTTTCTCCCCTTATACAATAATAATTCAGATTAAATCAGGTAATAAGAATGCACTGCAGTTAATAAATTTCAATATTTACCTTCAGTCTTTTCAATTTCTTCATTCAATCTAAAATTAGAAATATTAGTTATTCAAAAATTCTTTATATTAATTAAAAGCTTTAAAAATCTTTAACAATTAAAAAAAAATCCTATATCCTTTAGTCTAATAGTTATCCTATATTAGAAAATACTTTTTGAATAAAAGTAATTAACTAAACTAATCACACTAAATCGGAGGTCACCAAAGTGGTTAATACTGACTCTCAGGGAGAAATAAATTGGTCTTTAGGAAGTTTTTTAGAAACTTTAATATTCAACAGAAAATGACATTCTGAAATTTCACCAATAATTAAAAAACAGATTTCTTGCTTTTTCTTTGATAAATTTCAATTAAGAATTATCTCTGATGGCCATTGAAAAGCAGTTAAAGAACATGAAGTTGTTTGCTGAAATGTAAGTTTACTAAAGTTTTGTATAACAGATTTTTTAATTAATTACATTTTAACATAAAAAGTAACTCAAATTCAAATGACAACTTTTACATATTTCTATGTATGTACAAAAACTCAACCTTAAAATTTTTAAGATTTAAATTTAAGTTTGGACACTAATTTATATTTCATGCAAAATATGAATGTATAAAAACAAAAGGTCATGGAAACTTATCACAGTAAAAAGATAGGAAGTGCTGAAAGCCTTTCAATACACAACACTATGCATATGCCAACATTGTTATTGGCAATTAAGATAGAGTTCTCCCGAGACGTGCCATGAATAGTTTAGTCTATCAGTTTGTAATATTTGATTGGTATAGTATGATTTTCTTGCTTAATCATTGGTCTAAAAGGCATTGGATGCACTGATGCAGGTGAGGTAACAATAAAGTTCAATTTCTTTTATACTTGTTATCTGTACTGTTGAGCCTACTGTTACAGTAACAGAAAACTACCAAAAACAAAGTATTTATTATTTTCAGATATCATATTCTTATTAAAAATAACATGTAAATTTTACTCTAATGGGGGGAGGTGAGAAATTTGACAATATTCACTGGGATACTTAAAATTTGGTTTCATTTCTTCCATAAGCAATGAAATGTAACCAATGTATCTTATGTGTGAGAGGTCAACAATGCTAAAAAACCACGAAAGTGAAAGAACAGCTAGAAAAAATGCATACAGAAAAGGAGGATAAAAATCTTGATTATTTTAAGCCCAAAAAAAGCACTAAAGAATCAAACAAAACTAACTTCCTTCTTTAAATCTCCTGCTGAAGCTAATATTGAAAGTGGATTAAAAGCTACTTATAATATATTGATGCTCACTGCAAAAGTAGGAAAATCTCATTCAGTTAGCAAAGGAAATTATTCCACTATAAAAGAAGTCAGAGACAATAATGCAAAAAAGATTTCAGTGCTATTCTTAAGTCTTTGCCACTAATTTATTATACAATAAAAGGACAAAGAGATGAATTATCTGAAAACATTAAAGAAACTGTTACCAACAAATGTAAACATTGCAAATTTTCAATCCAACTCAGTGAATCAACTTTTGGAAGTAAAAATGTTCTTATTGTTTAATATACTTTAGTCAGCCAAAAAAGTGTTTTATGGATGAACGTTTTTTTTTGCAAAGTATCTGAAAACAGACTCAAAAACAAATGGGAAGACTAAATTATAATGTTTAGAATACATGGAAAAAACACAATATTCGAATGGAAAATATTTGTCCTGACCTGTCATGACAGGTCAGTATCAAGGATTTACTTCCCTTCTGAAATAAAATTCTTAATATGTGCACTATTCATTGTTTCATTCATACACAACATCTTGTGGCAAAACAAATGAGTCCTGAACTGCATAATTCCTTAACAGAATGTATGAAAGCAATTAATGTAATCAAAGCAAAGCCATTACATTCATATTTGTTTGCCAGGTTATGCAAAGAAAATAATGAGACAGATAATCAATTACTATTGTACTCTGAAGTAATGTGGCAGTGAAGAGATCCCGTTTTCAAAAACTGTACATATCAGCCATAGAGTTTTTGAAAGATATCAACTGTTCTCTATATTGTGAGATGCAGAAATGTAAAGTTCATTTGTTTTATCCATCTGACTTATATTCAAAAGTTAACAAGTCCTAAAATTGTTTGAAAAGTTAAAACATGTCAATCTCATTCAAGCTTAAACAGTCTTGTTTGGTTTTCAAAAGAAACTTGAGCTTTATAAATCATATTTATCAATGAGGGATTTCAAATATTTGGTAAATCTTCAAAAACTGAAAAATTAAGAAAATGAAAGGATTACTGAAGATGCTTTAGAGAGATTTGTTAACCATTTTAAAGAGCTGATCCATGAATTCAGCAGACCTGCAAAATATGCAAATTCCTGACTGAGTTGTATTGGCTTTTGACTCTTATTTAAACCAAAACAGTATAGTAAATCAAGAAATTTTTGATGAACTTACAGATATGTCTGTTGATCTTGAAGCAAATATTGTTCAAAAATAAGACTATCAAATTATATTGGAAAAAGAAAATAATATATATCCTAAAATTTGTGCAATGGTACTACCTTTTATTTTAGCATTCCCCCATTTCATATTTAGTTGAAACTGCATTTTGTCATGCTAATGCACATAATTAAGCAGCAAAACATATTGAACTTTGAGAAAAAGGGCTTACAAATCATAAGCCCAATGTAAATGGTCTAGTAAAAAACACTAAGCATTAATTAACCTTCGAATTAAAAATAAATTTTGGTTTGATATAAAAATGTTGCTTGAGTAATTGTAATGTTTTTAAAACACATTTTATTATCCACTAATATAATTATTATTATTATTATTCAAAAACTTTTCATAGAACAGATTTAGAAAGTATCCAATATCTAAAATTTTTCACTGGGAGGTATCCAGATTTCTATGCCATCATCAAAGGGATCATTGAGATAAGTTTGGCAATATCTATTCTAAATAAAATTTGCAAAAATTCAATGTAAAGAATCTGTTTTGCCAATTGTATATTTACTAAAAATCAGATAAAAGTTGAAATAAAAGACAGTGTTGCTATATACATTCAAATAAGTTGTAAAAGCAGCCAAATTTTAATTTACTTGAATGCATGTAGCAACCTTGCTTACATATTCTAAGAATGTGTTTTAAAAAGAACAAATTTTCTGGAAAAGGAAATCTATTTTTTCTTAAAATCAACATCAAGTGGAATTTTTAAAAATGTCTTAGATCAGAACAAATTGTGTATAAAGAGAATTTGATTTTTTTCCAGACCATATTAAATCAAAATAAATGTAAAAAAAGAAAAAACCCAACAAAAACATAACAGGATTACAAGTTTATTGAAAAGATAATTTGGAGTTCTATGACAGAAAAAGGTAAAGTTAAATATTGATGTTTTCAGGATTCTCAAAAAACTTTTTGCCTGAGGCTTGTTATGAAGTGAATAAAGTATAAATGTTAAATATATAGTAGAGTCCTGCACAACATACAAATAAAGCAAGCAACACCCTCGAATTATGTTGATCAGAAGTATACTTTTTTCCAACTTATAGGCCAAGGTTTAAACTTTTGTAAATTGTGTGATAATTACATTTTCTATAATGCATAATGAATCCCCAATCTACTGTAATGAGTAAAGTGCTTGTTATAGAAAGGGGAATATTCCCCCTTTCTATAACAAGCACGTCCCCTATTTGATATGCATAATAGAACACTTAACTGCAAATGATATTTAAGGGAACTTAGGTACTGTTCTTTATCCCATAAAACTCCTAAATTGCAAGTGAAGGAATTAAATTTTTGACTAAATAAAAAGTATTTATTGCCATATTGATTTTTTCCCAAAATACCACAAACTTTCCATTCAATTTAACATAACACTTTGATGCATTCCATGTTAATAATACCCGACTATTAAAACCGTACATAAATTTGAAAAGATTATTCCCAGATGTATTATTAAGGATAATTCTTAATTTTGTAACATTGAAATTTCATCTGTATATTCGCAATGACGACACCATCTTATGTAAATATTAATAACTAAAAAGAAATTTTCAATTAAACTAGATAATTCTGAAAAGAAACAAGTTATATGTAGTGTAAATTAAACCTGCAATTCCTGTATCTTGAATAAACAACACTGCTAGTTGTACTATCAAAGTTTAATGTAGCTTTAGGTTAAATTTAAAAATTTTTATGACTAACTATTGATTAATGAACTACTAAAATTTAGTGTGAAAATGAATTTTGTAACTTAAGTTTATATTTACTTATTTGATTCCATATAGATTACTGTTTCAAACACATCTTTACAATTACAGTCGACCCCCCTATAAGATCATTGATTTTTCCGTTTTATCTGAATTACATGTTGTACGAGTCACTTAGATTTTACAAATATGTGAGCCGTTCGCAGCCCGGCACACGTATTTGTAAAATCTAAGTAACTCGTACAACATGTAATTCAGATAAAACGGAAAAATCAATGATCTTATAGGGGGGTCGACTGTAAATGAATCAATTTAAGACAACTGAAAAAATAAATATCATATTTAAAACTGTTCTTCTAAATATTGGAGAATTTTTGCCATTGATGCTATAATTTAAATACAGTAGAGCAATAGTTCCCAATTAGTGGTACGCATACCCCTAGGGGTATGTGAAATTGCATGAAAGGGTACGCGCGGCAATCTAAAATCGATCGATTTAAAATTTAAATGCATGAGATGAAGCAATAAAAAAAATAATGGGTGGACCATCAAAAATTCGGCAATTTACAACATGACGTCGAATGCACAAATTCGTTTATTTATAACTAAAAATACTCTCGAAATTTCATTTAAAAAATGCATTTGTGACAATACCTAAATGAAATTCTTACGCAAGAAACAAAAATTGTACAATTAACACAATTTGTATTTGCAAAATTAAATTTGAAAATTTTTGTCGCCGTTGCGAATAACTCCACCGACCACCTTCCCATCTCTGACCAAGAGGAATTAATAGACATTTCATGCAACAGCAGACTCAAGAGTTGTTTTGCAGAGCAATCATTGAATAATTTTTGGGCTGACCTAAAAGACATTTATCATGTCAGTGAAGCGGCAATAAAATATTTACTACCATTTTGCACAACATACCTCTGCGAGAGTGAATTTTCGGCCATGACAAACATGGAAACTAAACATCATCATTGACTTCAGCTTGAAGATGACTTGAGACTGAAGCTGACCAAAAAGCAACCAGATTTTACAAAGTCGTGCAAAGAAAATCATGCACATTTGTCACATTAAAATTAAATAAATTTATGTTATTTTCATTATTATTAGAATAGTATTTTAAAGGTAATAAATGTAAAAAAACTTATTTTATTTATCACTAACTATCTATCACTACCCACAGCTTCACCCGCATTATATCGAATTTTCTCATGGGAGTAAGATATTTTCTCACAGTAAAATGTATCTCTGTGCCAAATTTTATTAAAACCTGTTCAGTAGTTTAGATGTGAAAAGGTGACAGACAGACAGAATTACCTTTGAATTTATAATATTAGTATGGATTAATATGAATTTCTGCTATAAGGGGTACGCGAGTTTGAGCTCTTTCTTAAAGTGGTATGCAGGAAAAACTAATTGGGAACCACTGCAGTAGAGCATCAATTATCCAAATACTGATCAACCGAAACATTGGTTAACTGAAAGCGTTCCAGTTGGCAAATTCAAATTTCCGCTAGTACTGTGGCACTGCAGCACTTTCCTCCTCCAGCCAACTGACCTACATGACCAAACTTGTCACTTGTGATAGATCGTGCTGTATGTACTGTAGTTGTTGTACTGTTTGCAATGGTGATTAAGCATAAACGTGTTCTTCTCAATGTTTCTGGTAAACTTAAAATAATAGACCAGTTGAAGAGTGGTGCTAGTGGATCAAGCTTAGTTCAGGAATATGGAGTTGGAAATTATTTAAATTTCTGTTAAAAAATCATTGTAAATTTGTGAACAGAAATGAAACAGGCTAAGCAATATTTTAGTGCTTAAGATAACAGCTTCTAAACTGAATACCGGTAATTGTCTTGCTTTCAATAGCCACTCTAGTGGTGCAGGATATATGATACAATAGAGAGGTTTCAAGTCAACATTACAAATGATGTCATGAGCATGCACAATTGTCCAGTGCTATCTTTGTGATTTGTTTGTTTTGTGTTTATGCATGCTTTTATTGGAGCTTGTGTTGTTTATTCATTATGAATATCACTATGGCAAATTTTTGTGTAATGCTAGTTCACTCATGAACAAAGGAATATCATACATCATTATATAATATTATATAAAAGACAGAAAAAAACTAAGACCTCCTGCCCTGTCTAATATCCAAGAACTGAAAACTGGTGATTGGACAGGATGAAAAGGAAGACATCTTAGTTTCTTCTGTATTTCATATAATGTGAATATACCATCTGCCTTTTTTTAATTAAAAGTTTTATATCACCAAACAAGTGCTTCTTAAAATTTGTTCACAACAAAAGTAACGTGAATTTGATCTATCCATTTGATTTCTATTAAATGAAAAATACTAAACAAAATTGTTCAAAATTGCATATTCCGTAATGATGATTAATAATTTCATTCCAGCTACTTTAATTTAAATTAAACATTACACAGAATGCAGATTATGTAGAAATTTTTTTTATCATATATTCATCTATAAATACAATTTATACAAGATTCAAATACTCATGAATTGATAAATTATTTTAAGCATTATTAAAATCAATTCATTGGCTGGTGTTAAATTACGGCATGGAATCATCTGTCATTCATCTTTAAACAACATTAAACAACAGACATTGGAAATGATTTCTGTATTATATTTGGATATCAATTTACGAATCATCCTTCTGTTACCTCCGAGATTTAAAGTCACATCTGGGTATTAATGTCCAGTTGAGAGTTGTCACAAATCGGTAAAGTGATCCTCTTCGAAAATCTTAGTGTTAATCAAAGATTATAGTTTAGCAGATGAAGAATAAAAATGCATTTTGAACCAATTGTCCTTCCACTCTGATTTACATAAATAAAAGTGTGTATTTTTTAAGATATAAATCAATAATTTTCATTGTTGGTTTACAAATAGATAAGTTAGGATTTTGGTGAGCAACATTAGCATTTCTTTAAGATGCTACTTTTTACAGTGATTTTTTTTACATTAGTAACAAATAATCATTACATAGTAACCTTCAAGTTGTTTCTATCAAATTCTTATATATTACTTGTATATAAGTACCATAATGATAAGCTTTTTAAATATTAAATTGTCATAATAATATATAGCAGGTGATAGCAGAGTGGTTACTTCAGTACTGTCANTGTACTGTACTTAATTAATTAAGAAAATATTAAATATTTAAAAAATACAGTATTTTTAAAGTTAAAATAAGATTAAACTAACGAAAACCAAAAGCAAAGTGATGGAGAGATAGGACACGCTTGTATATTGATGACGTAATACACGTAACTGAGGAGAGAACGAAAAGAACCGAGTCGAATTAATTAAGTCGGAAAAAAGAAAATGTGCATTATAATTGAGAAAATGCGAGTATTGTATCAATCTTTAAAATAAAATACAATACTAATATAGCCCTATCGTTGAAAAAAAATTCGCTTATTTTTGCTCACCTCGAGTTTTGCATAGTAAAAATAGCTAAAAAGTGTGCAAAATATGTACGAAAATACGTTATTACAGGACCACTGTATTGGACGACCACCTGTCTAAAAGACCACTTTTTGAAGGAACCGTGGGTGGTCGCCATAGACAGGTTTTACTGTATAAACTACAAGATCCATTTTCTTTGAAAATGAATATTTCTTTCCTAATGATCTTTGAAAAATTATTTAAATACCAAAATTCAGGCACAATTTATTTTTGTTTATGTTTACTTCATAATTAATTACCATGTCTAACTTCTAATTTAAAGAATGTGTGTGAAGTATTACCAATTCTACAGAATTACTATCTGTATCTGATGACAAAACATTATGACCGGTAGTAGTGAAAAGTTGTTGTGAAAGGCTCATATTCATGTCAATATTTCTATTCTTTAAACAATTGAAAAAATAAGTTTGAATTATATTAATGTCCTGTTTGTAAACATTCAAAAGGCTAAACAAATTTGATCATCTTTTAATTATCTCATGTGTTAGAAAATCTTTCACTTCCTAAATTATAAGACTAAAAACAAAAAAAAAAATATGTCTCAGTAGTTTTCTTTGTAGCATTATTTCTACTGAAAATGCATTTAAGAAACATCTTGAAAAGTAATATGTCTTCATACATCCTTCACAACCACAGGAACCACATGTTAATTATGTAATTAACATGAGCAGAGCTGACCTTTCTTTTAGGGTTCTTCCCTGCATACAAATACGTAAATTGATTAAAAGTCCATCTGGCACCAAATTCTTATAAAATTTCTAAAAATTCAGGATGAAATATATTTTATAAACATTGAACACTAAATAAAAAATATAAATTTGATTAAATAACACCATAAAATCTTCAAAAAATACTAACAACAAAAATATATTTAAAATAAATAGATTGTGACAAATGTTTTTGATCCAATTAGGATGTGCATCAGGTCAAAAATGTTTGAAGGGAGAATGTATCAATTTCAAGGAGGCGGTGAACACCTCACATGCCTGGCAGTCCTTTTACGACGATCCAGACATTAAAAAATAGGAAATCAATTAATTCACTTATGATTTTAAAACATAATTTTAACTTTAATGTTAACACATAGGTGTGACTTTTGTTGTATACTGGTTATAAGGTTTATAGTTCCAATGATTTCAAAATATTTAAATTCAAACATCCTGCATTCTAATTATTTCAAACATTTTTGACCTGACACAGATCCTAATTGGATCGAAAACGTTTGTCACAACCTATTTATTTTAAATATATTTTTTGAAGGCTTTATGATGTTATTTGATAGTCTATAATTAAACAGCTTTGTGAAGATTCAAAAATTTGATGTTTTCACACATCCTTCATAACAAGAACACACAATTAACATGAACAGAGTCAATATACATGGATAAGCATTGGTATGAACCTTTATTGAACAAAGAGAAAAAAAGTGCAATTTATACAAAAAACTTATGAATAAGTCATCTGATTTTTTTTTAATTTCAATTTTCTTGAAAATGTTTGTTAAGTGTACTTTCTCTCTTTGCTCATACCAAGGCCTTGGTTACAAAAACAGTGTTATTGTGAGTCTTGAGGTCCACATCTTAACCCTCTCTTAGCAATTGAAGATTTGTATCACTGACAATTTTATTGGCAAAAGGGTAAATATTGTAGGTGAGATCGAATTCAATTCGAATTCTTAAATTTTTGTTGATTTTCTGCCTTTAAGGTATAATGTACAATCAGGTGGAACAATTTTTTACAAATAAGAGATTATGTTAAAGTGTCCAAAATCAGCTTTAACATATTTCTAAAATTATCATTTTTTGTTGATTATCTAAAAAGATTTTCTATTTTTCAATAAATGGACACTGTTCATTCATTAACTCATTCATATATGAACTATTCTTGGTTATTTACAGTTCTGAATAATAATTTTCAAACTAATGTATTTTTCTGAAAATTTTTAATTTCAAACTTTTGTATAAATTTTAAATGTGTTCTAATCAAAACACATTTAAAATGTGCAGAAAAGTATTCTAGTTTATTTGTATTATTCCTGAAAATGAAATTTTGGAATATTGAATATGTTTGATTTATTAAAATTAATAATGTTTGTTAAAAAAAAAACTTTATGTTGTGTTCTTTGAGTCCTTTTTTTGAATTATTAAAATTTCTTTATATTGCTATTGTCAACCACAATTAATGGCAGGGATGCACAACCTGTGGCCTGTGGAAGGTACAGGCCAAAATCCCTTCTTTTAAATGTTTCTATGGATTACTCACTCCATTACGATATGGGTCCTGTTACCTTAATGCAGTAAAACAAACCCTTCCTATGTTAAATCTATGGAACCTTTTCCACTTCATTGGACGATAAAATTATTACTTACACTCCTTTTAAGCTCAGATTAGCACTTTGATTTGAAAGACTTGGCTTTATCCAATAAAAGTAACCAAGAATCTGACACCTGGGAAAATTGCCACCAAAACCACGCCAACTTGAGCTCATTCATGAAAGTGTGCTTGTAAACAAATGAACTAAAGTAGCTATATTTTCTGTTTTTTTATCTCTAATTTTTCTAATTTTTATGTTGATTGACTATTTGATAAAACCATTAATGTTTTATCTGAAATGTTTAGCCATAAAATTTTCCCCACGAAACTTGCTTTGCTACATACTAGTAGGGAAGTATCAAATTGAACATTTTTTTTTAAAAATCTGTTAGCTAAATAAGTTTTTCCTCTCCCAAACAAGTTCAAAAATTAAGTTTCAAGTATAAAACTTCTTCCCTTTCACAGTCATTAGCACCCAACTGTTTTGACTTTCTGAGAGGAGAAATGGGAGCTTTTGAAGTTCATCTATTTCTAGCTAAAACACTTTCTGGTTTAGATATCGAATACTGTAGTCTAATACATAATATTATAACAATTTTTAGAAAAACCAAATAGAATAAGGGATGTTAGAATGTCATTTTTAGTGTTATGAGGAAGTTTCTATTTTGGCAGGAAATTTTCAATTTTATGCTTTGGAAAACTTGCTTATTTATCTAAATAGCATCAAATAACATAAAAATAAGTGAAAATAGCACTGAAAAATCATGAAAATAACGATTTTTTGGCATTTGTTTACATTCTAGATTCTGATTGGTATAGTTGAAAAGGATGTGGTACTTCCCAGGAAATTTGAATCAATCTTTTCTGAAGAGACACTTATTCGTCAACCTAATGTCATTCAAACTAGAAAAAAACCAATCAGAGTTCAAAAAGGAATATACAAAAGCTATAACAACCAATTATTTACAACAATGTCTCTCCATACACTAAAAATAGAAAAAATTTTTTTTGCACCAAAATTTTTAATTATTACATTGGACCAAGAAAATTAATAGTTGGAATAGAGTCATGTGGCTAAAAGGAAACTGACTGCACTAAAAAGTTTTTAAAACCTATCTGACAACCTCACAGGTTGTCAGATAGGTTTTAAAAACTTTTTAGTGCAGTCAGTTTCCTTTTAGCCACATGACTTTTTTCTTTTTAGCCACACTTCTTTTTATAAAACCTATCTGACAACCTCACAGGTTGTCAGATAGGTTTTAAAAACTTTTTAGTGCAGTCAGTTTCCTTTTAGCCACATGACTTTTTTCTTTTTAGCCACACTTCTTTTTATAAAACCTATCTGACAACCTCACAGGTTGTCAGATAGGTTTTATAAAAAGTAAGGTAAAATTCCTGGAAATGTAGCCTAAATTATTTTTAAAGTGGTCCAAAAAGTAGTAAGTTGCCCAAATGAAGTAGCCTACAGTCTATAAATACATCAATCTGCTACTTATAGCCCAATCTTGCAATCTTGAAAAATCAGCCATATTTTATGTAGAGGAAAAAAAAAATAAAGCAATTTGTCCATGTGTAAGGCGATACCCAAAAATGTGAAAAACAAAATGTTACTGTGAAAGCAAAGCCATACTGATCACTTTAGAGTTGTTCTTAATCTATTGTTCTCTTATAGCATAGAGGCATTTCAATCTAAATGAACAAGTTAACATATGCATATCACAGCTCAAACAGAATTTTCACTTTAAATTTCAAAGTACCATATTCCAAACTAACCAAATTCCTTAATATGTACAACTATCTCTCTGACCAGGACAAAAGTATGGTTATGAACTAATAAGATTTTGAACTATCCAAGTTTGAATTAACAAGGATTTATGTATTAATTTCAGCAAGCTGAATGAGCTCTATCTTGTACAGCTTCAAAGATTTAATGGTTTTCAAATGCTTTCGACAGATTTGAATTTAAAACCGTTATTTTTGTGTAGTTTCACAACAAAAGTTCAAAGTTCAGAGAAATGATATCTCCATTGTCAGACATGAGCTATTAGCAAGGTTCACAGTTCAATTTTTGAGTATTTGTTGTGAAAGTAGCACACACAATTCACTATTATTATAAGTAACTTTTGTGAGTAATTTTTAAACAGCTTATCTCCAAAATTACTAAGAATAATACCCATGTTCATATAAAGTTTTTTTGTTTAAACTGACCCATACTATCATCTCCCAACTGATTTTCCTCTTAACACTACTTACACACAGTGAGTCGAGAGATTTTCTTATTTAGTGATATCTATTTTCACAAGATGTATAAATAATGGAAAATAACATTATTTGAGAAATATACAGATATAATAGCATTCTAAATATTTTAATCAATGTTTTCAATTATCAAATATGGATTTACCTGAACATTTCTTCACTAGAATTTGATAGTCTGGTTTTGGTATAAAACCAGTGTTGCATTCACAAAAATAACTGCCTTCAATTATTATACAAGTGGTGTTTTTTGTACAACTGCTCATGGAACAAGGATCTTCAACTGGAGCTAATAACAAAAATTAAAAATTATCATTTATTTTCAATTTTACATATCATTTTATTATATATTTAAATAATAAAATATATATAATTGAAGTTTTATGTTATGACCTAAGCAATTCCTAGAAAACTATCATGATTAACCAAGTGACACATTTCCCTTAATTTCAGTTCAACATTGTGTCTATGCTGAAACAAAATTAATTACACTGCCTTCAAAGACCATGATGGCAACAAAACAGGAAACATTCATAATTCTAAAAATTTATAATAACCATCTGTCAACAATGAAAAATTTCTAGAAATAAATTAGTGACATATTTTTAGATGTCTATATTTTGATGTAATGACAAAACATGGAAATAACTGTTAGTAAACTTATTATACAGGCTGGGCAAAAAGTCCATAAAAACTTTAAACATTCATAAGAAATGGAAGTATTATCAGAATGAAATGTGATTTGCATAATAAGTATTGTCAACATGGGAAATTTTTGTTGATGGAAAAAATTAGTTCCAAAAATCACTGATAAGGGGCATTGACATACAAAAGAAATGCAAATGACAATTAAGATGACTTTCAACATGTTTATTAGACAAGCAAGTATTTCACCACAGGATATAACAATTTAGCAGAGTAATAATGCCCACAACTGCATAGTGCAGCATATACATATGGATGGATGTTACTTCACAGCAAATAGCATTTTTCAATTCCAACAATGTGGAAGGACCTGATCAAAACACTTGAAACTTTAAATATCCCCCCACAATCAGAAATCACATTGAAAGTCATTGTCTTTTGTACACCAATGCCGTCTACTGGTGATTTTTTCCATCAACAAAAACCCTCATGCTGACAATATTTACCATGCAAATCACATTTCATTCTGATAATTCTTCAATATTTTATGAATGTTTAAAAAGTTTTTATGGATCTTTTGCCCACCCTGTTTAACAATGATGTAATTACATAAATTTATAAATTAGATGATAATTGTTAATACATTTAATTTATTACAAACAATACATCAAATAAAACTTTCTGCATATTTTTATTCTGATTTTCTTAATAATAATGAAAGGACATGTTAAGAAATAGAGAGAAGTGACATGTTATTGAATGTGTAAAAACTAAGAGAACTTTCCAAAAACAAGTTTAATCTTCAATTTTAAAAATTTTAAACAAAATAACCTTATATATTAACATAAATATGATTTGTAGATAGAACAGTTTTAAATTTTGTTGTTCTAATATTATAAAAACAATTTATAAGAACTTAAAAATTACAAATTGTATCTTCTTAGTTTTGAAGAAGAAAAAAAAAATAAATACATAAATAAATAAAAAAATTCTATTCTATTCACACTTGTAGCAATCAAAAATCAAATTAATTCAAATAATACCTTTGGTAATAGGAATATTTTCTACAATAGGAATATCTTCAGTATTAGAAATAGCTGGTTTTTCTGTGACAAAATGTGTATAATTAGCTATCTCTGCAAATTAAAAAACATAATTAAATAAGTACACAGTAAACTGTTCTGTTTAAAAAAAGAATAAAATAAAATACTTGTAAATATATACTAACTAAAGTGAAGTATAGTTAATAATGCAATATAGTTAAACTTATCTATTTTTATTGCTATATTATGAACAATATACCCTTGCATTACAGGCTAATTAAGATTTCATCTAATATGACTGATATGAAATAGGACAAAATAGAACTCGCAAGCATGATATAAGATAAGCAAAAAATATGAATAAGATTCAAACTTGACCTCACAATAGTAGATTGATTTTACCTCTTCACCATCTAAATAGAGCCTCAGGTACTTTCTGAACACAAATTCAAATCAAATACAAATGTTAAAAATTAAATTTAGTTACTACATTTTGTAAACAAAAAAAATAAAGTATGCAAGTGTGTGATTATGTTTTAGAGACACAATAATACTAGCTGATTAGAAACCTTATCTAGACAGCCAATAATCAACACTTTGTTCAGACAATTGAAAATTATTTAATAAAGTATATCAATAAATATAAAAAGAATTTCTCTAGTAATAATTTAAAATGATTAGTATATTTTTTTACAATAGAGATGAATAAAATATCACAAAAATTACAGCCATTTAATATAATTCTGCTTTCATTGTTGAAAAATTTCATGATAAAGCAATTTGTAAACTTCTAGAGATAATTACTTGTATAAAGCAAGACTATCAATAAAATACTGGGTTCTACAAATTAACTATATCACAACATTAGTGACATGAAAATAAATTAAACAAGATATAATGGAATGATGTTCAAAATTTAATTATATGTATTTACTGATTAATAATAAATTGGTTATTTTATTTATTTTTAACAGAAATGATAGAAAATTTTTTAACTATATTGTAAATAACTTTAATTACTTAAATATTTATGCTTAAAATGATTTAATAAAAAAAGATTAAATAAAACATGATAATTTCTTAAAAATAATAATAATTCAAACAAATATCTTCTTTAAGTTTTATTTAAAATGTATCAATTTTAAACAATAAAAGTTAGTTTATTTACTTTTGTAAAAAGAAAGCTATTTTTTTAATATGCAAGAATTGTTAGTTAACAAATTATAAAAAAAGAATAATTTTAAAATTGGAACATATCTATGCATTATTAATTAAATCTTTAATTTCTCTTTTACCTTCACACATTTCTGAAATGGGATTTCTTTGTTTGCCTTGCTCACAAACACAAACATATCCTTTTTCACTTGTAGGATCATTATGACAATTAGCTTTTTCTGCACGACAAAACCTGTATCCTGAACTGTCTTCACTGCACTGATCCTCTATTAAAGAAAAATTAATCAATCATCATCAAATTTTAGATATCAGACAAATATTCAAATTAAACATGGAAGTTTGAAATAAAATATATAATACAATTAAAATTCAATACTGAGGTATCTTTTGTAAGTTAAATTTTAAATTTCACAAAAGAACCAGAGCATCAATGTGTTAGAAGTTTGCAGTGGACTCAAATTTATTAGTAGTTCACAGATGTAAAAAAAGTTATTTCCACGAGCTTGCAAATCCAGAGTGAACTTCTAATACATGGATATTTTTACTTCTTTTATGAAATTGTAACCAGTATTATGTGAAGAATATCTTATCTTCTAAACTTCAATATAACAAAAACTATATTTCTGTGTAATAAATAACAACCAAAAGCAATATTATGGAAAAAAATTTTACTTTTTCATTTAATATTGTCTTTTAATTCTCATATGATTAATTTATTCATTGTAAATTAGTGAATGTAATTCATTTCCAAAATTATAAAAAACAAAAACACTCATGTTTATTTGTGGACAGTAAAACAAACTATATAAAATATATATTCAGGGTTCCTACTCAAATTTTTATTTTGAATTCTATGACTTTCCCTGACCAACTTTGTCCAAATTCCATGACCTCACATTTCTTACAGTATGGAATAGCAACAAATTAAAACAGCATTTTACTTACTGTGAACATTGAATATATCTATCCCTTCTTTTTACACAGCTGAAATGTTCCAAAAGACCAAAAATATAGTATATACATCCTGTAGAAAAATGTCTGATAAGATCCACAACTTCAATGTAATGAGATAATAAGCAATTTACAAATGAAACATGAGCTTTTTTATTTTAACATCATTATTTGTATATAAATCTAGTAAACAAAGTAGCATAAAATCAACAAACAATATTCTCTGATATGCAAATAGTACTGTGATATGCACTGTACTGTGCTTAAACATGATTACACATCGTAAAAAATTATAAATGTGAAAAATAATTAAATTATAAATTTTTACTGATCTATTTAGCTGTTTTGAAGTGAACATTCTAATAGATTACTGTTTCAAGTTTTAAAAGTTTTCAAAAATTTTAATTAGCTGTCTTTTATTCAAATTTAACAATATCATCTTTTTATAATTGCTGAATTTTTATAAATAAAAATTAAACACTATTACATAAAAGTAGTTTATCTGTTATTAATCCACAACTGTAAAATTATATGGCTTCAAGTGGTGAAAAAAGCCATTATTTATTTTTTGATCATTAATGAATTCTGTAGTCTGTTACAAAAGTGTAAATTTATATCTTAATAAATTTTATAAAATTAATATACTGGAAAGAAATTGGAAATTATGTTTTGTTACACAATAAAAATCATTAAAATAAAAATGATATTTGTAATTTATTGGTATTATTTATCACAATGATGATCTCAATTTTTAAAATCAATTCATTAACATCTTATCTCAAATTGAGGGTGTGAACATAATTGTGGGGGTTTGGAAAGGGATAAAATATTTTGGAAAAATTTTAATCCAGGTACATTATCAAAAGTGTTGCAGATTATTCTCTCAAATTCATGATAAAGCAGTTTTAAAATCTGAAAATGTTTAAAATTTAAAAATGCTAATTGATCTGGCAGTATATTATACTAGCTGTTACCCATGACTTCGATCGTGCGGATTTTGCAAGCAAACCCCATTTATATTCAGTATTTCAACAACCATAGTAATTGTCATATAACACCTACAGCTGAGAATGATGAGAATTGCTGAGAATCAAACAAACTATTTTCAATTTGATCAATTTTCTGGGACGTTTACAATCATTCTATAATTGAACCAATATGCAATAACAAATTTGAATTTAAAACAGTTCGAACATTTGGTTAAAAAATCGAAATATATAAAAATATTTGTAACAATGTCTGAAATGTTATCAATTTAATACACCTAAGTACTCAATGAAGACTAAACGTAGTTAAAAACAAAAAATTGCATCTGAAATAGTACAGTAGAAGCCGTTCTTCAGGTTAAGCCTTAATCCTTTCCTCTACCCCCAAGAGGGAATTTCAAAAAAATCCCTTCTTAGTGTGTGTTTTCATGATGTATCCTAAAAGTGTACAAAATTTCACCTTTTTAGGTTCAGTGGTTTTGATGAATCACTCAGTCAGAACAAGTAATTTTATATATTTAGATTAGGGACTGTTTGATCCCTGGAATTTAGCAATGCCCTTCTCGGTGTTGCATTTTATAATAATTCTTCACATAAACAATTAATGTTAGTTTTAAAAGTGGCCTGCAACTGTCAGTAAAAGTAAACCTTTGTATTAACTGTCAAAACATTAAAACAAAATTTAAAAACAAACAATTTGATGTGATTTAAAGTTCTGATTTTGAGTGATTTTAAAATATATTCTTACAATAGAACAGAACAATAAGTAAGACTTATTACACGCATAAAATTAATTCATTATATGCAATTGTGCAAGGTTCAGCACTAAGCATCCCAGAAAAATTCTCAATGTTTTTGAAAGATGGTTTCAACAAAATCAGATAAAGAAAACAGTCATGCATGTAAGACAAAAATTTTATAAAAGATGGATTTGTACATTTAGCAGTGTTCTTTAATACTAAAAATGTTACAATAGAAAAACAGATTCTGCTATATTCATAATAAAGGTTGAAGCATTACTTCTTGCCGCCTGCAGATGGCTATACTTCGTCAGCTATATTCCGCAAATGAAATTAACAAGGCAGCTAAGCAGACAGATTCCTCGATTTTTCTTGACTTTTTGACAATTTTCGACAAATTTCCTGACTTTCCATGACTTTTCCTGAACACTAATGAAAATCCCCAACTTTCCAGGTGCATAGGAACCCTGTATATATTTTTAGAGCTTTAGTCTCATTGCCAGTCCATTATTAGAACAACCAAACACTGATTCATGTCTATATTTCTAATAAATACTTAAACTGTATTAAATATTTAGCTGTAAATTATTAAACTAATTTGGCCATTGAATCATGTCCAAATTCAGCTGAAGTAATTTAAGTTTCATAATTTGGTTTAATTGAAACATGATTATATGAATAGAAAGTTTAAACTTGTAAAACAAGCATTTAAACATTGATTGGATTACTACCATTTTAAAGATTTAACTGAATACTTAAAATTTTTTCAGAATATCTTGATTAAAATTTTGTTGTAGCAGAAAAATTTATGTTTGTTTTTGTACATTTATTTGTATTTACTATTGTTTGAAGTGATGATAAAGAATTTGCCTATTACTGACTTTATTAATTGAAATCTTTCAGAGTGCCATTCCAAATCTGCACTCTGAAAGATTTGGAATTGTCACCCAGAAACAAGGGAAGACCAATTGATATTAATTATTTTACATTCTTCTTCTGATGTTTGTTCTGTGAGGTGTTTGTTATCCGAACATAAAAATCTTTCACGAAAGTGTTTGTTGTCCAATTTCTTTGCAGTCCAAACTGTTTGTTAACCGATTACCCACTGTACCTTATTTTAGTAAAATTAACAACCACCATTTCTAATTTTTTTGGTTTAAAATTGCATTGTTTATCTGATAAGATGCTTTTATAAAGCAAAAGTTTTAGTATATTTTTCCAAAAATTGAAAGAGAATTTGTAATTTCTGGAAAGGAATTTATATAGCTACAAATGCATAGCATGAATCATAATATTTGTTCCATATGCTGCTACTGGTACACTGGATCAGCATAGATTGCTTCAACCTTTCAGAATCAGTGTCTGCTAATGCCAGCTGTAAACATTTGGATAAAGAAAAGCATTTTGCATAATTTAGTCTTTCATAATAATAAATACAGTACTGAATGATATTAAAAATTATCATAAAAGAAATTTGTTGGACTTAAGTGGTAATTGATGTACAATTTCTTAGTTATGGAAACATTTTTCTGACAAATATTGCAAAATATTATACTGCCATCCTCCATAAGCATTTCTCAGTTTTTATTTATATAATGCAATCCAGTTTCATAATTTTGTCTCCAAACACACAAACTGTTGGCATTTTTAGTGGAATCAAAGTATAGTGGATGAATATGAAATCTTAAAACACATTAATTGCATAATGCACTTGATGTGCAAGTGCACTATGAAGACTCATTGGATGCTTTAGCACTTGTTATACTTTGAGTTCAAATGCTTGCTAATTGGTTAGCATTAATTAATTAATGAATGACCATTACAATTCTGTTAGCACTTAGCAATGGACTGTTATTTAAACTTTGAGTTTTGTTTCTGTCTGCACATTCAAGCAAGATTTAAGCATATGCAACGTGCTAAGGAAGTGCAAGAAGAAAATATACTAAACAGCAACAATGTGCAATGTCATCTATTGGGAGAAGATACACTTGAAATATTTTGATGAAACTTTTAATTAAACATTCAAAATAAGGGAATTGGAAAAATAACTAAAAATGATAGAAAAGCCAATAATTGCATGAAAGTTATAACAACAACACAAACTATAATAAATTGTACTTTAAAACAGTAGATTGTGAACATAAAATGGTATCTGGCCTAAATACTATGAGAAACTGGAGCTGCGAGATTGTTTTTAACAAATTTTGTTAAAATATTTTATTAAATTTATTTCACAGAAATTTTATCTATCTTATAAAATTTTTGAAGTTGAAAAAGAAACTTCCTTTGTTGCTCAAACACTATTAAGTGTGACAAATTTAAACACTTGGCATTTTTTTCACCTTTATTTAGTTGATTGAGGTAGTGTAAGTCAATTAGAGTTTTATTAATCTCACCTTGAATTCTTTCCCTGTATCCATTGTCTTGATGTCGAACCACATACATTTTCCCTTCATATGATATCTGCCGTTTTTCTATATCAATAAATTTTTCTTTATAATTTGAAACAGTATTTTGTAATTTCTTTGTTGCTCAAACATTACAAAGTGAGATTAATAAAACTCTAATTGACTTAAACTACCTCAATCAACTAAATAAAGATGAAAAAAACACCAAGTGTTTAAATTTGTCACACTTAATAGTGTTTGAGCAACAAAGAAATTACAAAACACAGTTTCAAATTATAAAGAAGAAACTTCCTGTTTTGATGGAAGAAAACAACTCAGTTCTTCCAGAAGTGATAGATAGTGTGGGATTTCTCTCACACTATCCACATGACCACCCGACTGCCATCACATGTAGGGCTTGGAGAGATTATTTCAAATAATCCAATTGGATGGAGTTTTCATATAAAAAGTGATAGGTCACTTCCAAATGCTCTCTCTCTCTCATTCCCTCTCCCCAGTTCTCTAATCATGTGCTCCCGATTCTTCAGTTCTCTCAATCATTCTCCTACTGAGACATGACAAGATAGTAGAAAGAATATTTAAATTTATGTCTCATTCCAAGAATTTCAATGCTCAACATCAAGTAGGCCTATATATGTAACACAGGTAATATTTTGTAAACTCTCTCACAGAATAGGAACTAAGTAATGGATAGTTATTCAAATTATTTCCTCTTGAAATCATTTATATTTAGAGGTTTTTTCCTAAATGTTATATTTTATTTAGAATTTAGTTCATTTGTACTATAAATTTGTTCATCCATGCTTAATAAATATATCCTTTAAAATTAATTATTATCACATTTGATTCATTTTTGCTTAACTTCATTTTCAGCCCACATTATCAACGATTCAACTTAGACCCTCCTATATTTCCGGCATTAAATTTTATTAGTTAATTTGCATCTTAGTTCATGAAAAACTGACTAAGTGGTGTCAAGTTCCTGATTCTGGAGATCTTACCAATTCTCTAGATAAATAACAGCCATCCTTAGTGGGACAGGAGGTATATTGAAACTGACCCTATTCTTACAATACCTCATGCAAACAATCCATCTATTAGCAAACAAAAATTACATCATCAATAACTTCTGAGCTTTACTTATAAAATTAGTTATAACTGAACTAGTTTAAAATTGGTAATAAAATTTTATTAAACAAATTAAAAAAAAAAAATCGGACAAAAAAGTGCAAAAGTTACTCCAGAAGTCTGGGCTTTGCCCAAGCAATTAACAAAGAAAATTTATTATATGTGTATATCTATATTTTATTAATAAGACACTTTAGAAAAAATAAATAAAAGGTGAAGTAATGGACTAATGTAATTTTTGTAGAATATGAAATAAAATAATAAATCATACCAATACATTTAGTTGAGTTTTCATTAAACTGATAACCTGTTCTGCATTCACAACTATAATTAAATATTCTTGTATTTGAAATTATACATATGGCATCTTTTTCTTTACAAGCTATATATCCAGGTTCACCCACATTACAAATGTTAGTAACTATAATGAAAAGTTAAAAACAAATTTAATAAAAATTAAATTATAGAAAAATCATAAAAAAATAAAAATAATAAGATAAAATAAAAATTTCATAAAAAAAGTATAAAAAATAGGGAATATACAAGTATTTTCTTTTTTTGTTTTAATCTGTAAATTTCTGTTATCACAAACATTATTTTTCACATTGTTCAATTTAATTATGCTATTGAAAGTGTCATCAATAAATGTGACAATTCACTAACAGATATAAAAGTAAATATACACACACAACTTCCATAAATGATCAGGCTAGATTTGGATATAATAATTATAAAGCCCAATCATTTACAACAGTTATGGATGTATATTTGTAGATATAAAAGTATTGTATTAAGTAGTGAAATATATTTACCAATTCAATCAATGATTCTAGTTAACTTTATCATGAATGATATCCCATACAACAGATTAGTAATTAAACTAATAAAATTAGCCACACAAATATTTATAATTATCTTCCTGAAATAGTTAACTATTCCCATGATCAAAAAGTATCAAGAGTGGTTCAATAAAATGCAAGACTTAAATTTAATCTGTCCCCTTCAAAGCAATCTTCTCCTACTGCAATGCACTTATGCCAAGATTTTTCCCAATCTTGAAACATGCTTTAAAGCTGTTTTCATGAACCACCTTCAGGAATCACTGCAAATTCTATTTTATGGCATCAATTAACTCAGAATGGTGACCACACAGTGGAAATTTTAGTGGAGGAAACAGCAAAGTCAGTCAGTCAGTCATTTACACCTACTCGCTAACGGAACTTATTTATGACTCAACCCAATATATCGGGTTCAGTTGTGTATATTTGTACAAATAATATTCTTTGTTGACAAGTTTGGCTAATTGGGAGAAATTTGTGATGGACAATACCATGACAATTGAAGAAAACAATAACATAACCTTGATTTTTGACTGACTTTGATGTGGTCTTTTTGGTCTTGCTTTACCTTTCAAGCACCTTCACTTCGTTGTTGAGCTGCTTCAGTATCAAAAGTGTAGTGATGCCACGAATAGTGATTTTGCCAAATACCAAATACCGAATATTCGGCTACACTCTCAACCGAAGCGCTGAATGTTCGACAAAATATGTGTACATTTCGAGGGTGACAGGTTACGACCTGTCTCATTGCGGTGGGTGCGGTAATGACACTGCAGGCGCATTTGTTTTATTCGCAAGTAGATCGTGTCACAACATGCATTATTTGTTCATTGTTACATCAAATTGTGTTACTAATAGTCCTTATTACTAAAAAATATCACTGTTTGTATCACTTTATATGAAAACTGTTTGCCTACATTGGATGGCAGACCTTTACAAGTGGTGGTCAGCAAACGCAAAACAGTAACCAAGCCTGACAGAATTTGCTAAGATTTATCTACTGCCTCCCAGCATTAGTGTATACAGAGAGAGGCTATTTTCAGAAGCAGGTATAGTTTATGAGGAAAAGTGCAATCATTTGCTATCAACAAATGCTGAAAAAATTGTTTTCATTCATCACAACTTACCACTGATAGATTTTAAGCATTAAATTTAATAATTTGTGATTAAAAAAAATACATATTTCAGTAATATGTGCGTTTTTTTTTTCATGATTTGGTATTCAGTATTTGGCCAAATAGTATGCAACATTCGGCCGAATACCGAATATTAAAAAAAGTAGCCGAATACCAAATAGTAGCCAAATATTCATGGCATCTCTAGTGTAGATCTATGTTTCGTCATCCATAATGATGCATTTTAAGAACGATTTGTTGTGAGAAAGCATTTCTTCAGCCATTTGATCACAATTTTTTTGGAAACATTTCAATGTTTTTGGGACAATTTGAGAAGGGACATGCCCAAATTATCTTTTAAAATTGCTTGACAAGATCCAAATGATATGGGAACATGTTCAGTAATGTCCTTAATTGTTAAATGATGATCATTGAGCACCAAATCGTTGGCCTATCAGAGCTATTCATCTTCGACACATTCTTTGCCTTCCTTGAACATCTTGTACCTCTCAAAAACTTGTGTTTGATAGACTATCATCACCAATGGCTTTCTGCAACATTTTCATAGCAGTAATTCTGTTACAAAAACAAAATTTAATGCACTTTCTGTGCTTATAAATGTTTGTTTTGTATATAATGAAAATGGATATTGACATGTGGATTTCTGCTAGATGTCGATAAAAGTCTTACCAAACAAAGACAGTAACCTCCTGAACATGCAGAGTTTAAATAAACCACTCCTGATATTTTTTGATCATATTAGTAAGTTAATACTATAACAAATATGAGAAAACTTTTTGCTTTATATGTAATTTATTCTGAATGAAACTAGGCAAAAATTCATTTTCCATCTAAACACAAACTAATAATTGAGTCAACTGGTACTGGTATGGAGGTTCCAAAAGCACTTGGTTCTAAATGTATATACAGTAATGCGATGATACCTCAACAGGTCATTCAAAATCTAAAGTAGTATTGTATGTTGAATATATACAGTGTGACATTCTCTGAATAAACCAGTTCTGTTGTTATTTTGAATGTTTAAAAGACTAGAATACTTTGTTCATTATAGAGTTTACCATATTGTTAATCAAGGTGTTCTAGTACCATTTAGTCTTATACAGTCAACCCCCCTATAAGATCATAGATACGTTCCATTCTTTAGGAATCCGATTTCTTATGAGTCCTTCCAATCACAGCCCGACACGTGAGAAGTTTATGGACTACAGCTGATTGAAAGGTTTTCTTCCATAAAATTAATCGATTCTAGACTAATCCGACTCAACATTTCCAAAATACGTATATTTTTTTTGGGAATAATCCATATAAACTACGCTATAAACAAAAAATTGTAGGATTACTTACTGAGTGTGCACCATTCGACATCGACATTGCTCAAGCTTGTTTTCGTCGCGGAACAGCTTAGCAAACCGCGGCCGATTTCTAATAACTTATTTTTGTGCGAAAAATTCGCTGAACTTTGGAGACATCATTAATATAAATAATTTTAATCGCTGTTGAATAAGAAATGTTCTTTCACAAGAAATGTATAAAATTACAGTACTGTATTAGACTTATGGTAGCTAATTTACATACTGTACAGACGATAGTTAGCCTAAACTCTCTGTAGCATGGTGTTACGCGGCAGGAAATATATATATATAATTACAATAAAGTTACAATAAATTAAGTTAATATATAATTATATGTACAGTACCTAATTTATATATAATACTGTACAGATGATAGTAATCTGTCCGTAGCGTGGCACTTGACGGCAGAAAATAGTTCAGCTGCCCGATGACGTTTTACGTAATTATAGGAGTTTTTTTTTTATCATTTTTTACGGATACCGTCGCAATTTTTTCACACTTTTATAGGAATCGTAATTATAGGAACCCGTTTTATAGGGAAGGTCTACTGTAAATTAGTGGCCAATATATTGTACTATTGACAAACATATACTTATCACTTTGCATTAAGTTTTGAATAAATTATACTTCAAAATTAATATAATACGAAACAAGTGATAATAGTTTCGGTTCTGGTTTCTGAAGTTTGTTTTGGTAAGTCAACCAAAACAATAATGGCCGTGTTTTTTTATGCAGCAAAAATGTAGCATAAATGACATCATGAGCAGCAACCACTGCATGGCATTTTACAAATGCTTGTCGCTGAAGCAAAATGGATGCTGCCTCTTGTTCGCTAATTTCAGTTTTAGAAAGCAACATATTATTTAAAGAATTACAAGAGAATAAAAAAAAGGAAGTAGCCTATGAAAATTTAATGATCGGCATCACTGTTTCAAATGAAGGCAAAAAATTTAAGCGACAAAAGATACAAAATTACGTTGAAGAGATTACGTCGTACCTTCATATTCTATGGATGACTTCAAATCTCACAAAAAGTTCAACAGAAGTAAGTTTTAACTTAAAATAAGCTAAATTTTCTATTAATTTTTAAATTAACTGATAATGCATTTATTTTTTATAGGAAATTATAAAATTAATAAAATTCAAACAGAGAAATGAAAGTAAAAAAAGGACGACCTCTTATTTCTTCTACAAAGGAAGTATTATTAAGTATTTGGACTCTTGCTAATCAAGAATCATTTAGAGGTATTGGAGACAGATTTGGTGTCAATAAAGGTCATGCACATACAATCTTTATAGACTTCTGTCAAAAAAATGTGTCGTATGATTGGCAAGTTTATTACGTGGCCAAATGATAACTTGGAAAGAACAGTTCATAAGTTTGAAGAATTACATACTATTTCATTGCCTAAAGTAATTGGGTGTTGATGGAACACACACATATATATATATATATAAAAACTCCAAAGGAAGACAGCCAGAGTTATTACAACAGGAAAGGAAGGCACTCTATCCTGTTGCAAATAATATGTGATTCAGAAATGCAAATTGTTGATGCATTTGTTGGTTGGCCTGGTAGTGCCAATAAGTCTTGGGTTTGGCAGCAGAGCCCTATTTATAATATGTTTTTAAATGAATCTTCAAGATATTTAGGAGATAAATATTATTTACTTGGAGATTCAGCATATCTGTTAGATACATTTTTAATTGTACCATATAAAGATTATGGTAATCTTACTGTAAAACAGAAAACACAGTTCTAGCAGAGTTGTGGTAGAACAAACCATAGGTCTGCTAAAAAGGCAATTCCATCGACTGAAATATCTGGACATGGAAAACATTTCATCAATGTCAAGTCATAATGACATCATGTATATTACACAATTTGTGCATTAAATCAAGGTGATATTGACTGTACAGAGGATGCATTTGTTGATGATTATAATGAACCTGCAGACCCAGTTATGAGAAATCTTACAGCTGGATGTATATAAATATAAAGATATTTACCTGTACTTAATTGTTTCATGGTATTTTCGTCTACGGTAACATTTATTTGTTTTTCTCCAGAGCACAATACGACTTTAAACATTTTCGATGTGGAGGCATCCATTTTGCTTTACACATGTAGCAGACGTAAAAGCTGCTTTGTCTTCACTGCAGCAGACATCTAAAAACAGTTTGCTACATTGCAGCACTGCATTTACAAATGGGTTTCAAAGTGTTTGCTGTAAAGCACTTCTCAAGCACGGCATAAAAAAACGCAGCCAATTTTATAAGATAAGTCTACTGCTCGACCAAAACCAAAACCATTTTCAAACAACTTTATTTTTTGCTGTTTTTGATACAGAAGACCTAAGCTAAGGCCATTGGCAATGACTGACCATTGTTCTTCTCAAAATATTTATTTCAATTTCAAATACACTCTATGAACCTTGAAAACTTCAGAAACCAAAACCGAAACTATTATCAAACTTAGTTGGTTTGCAAATTTAATTTTATGGCAACAGATATAACTATTGATATATCAGTATAAGCAAGTGTACCTGCAAGTATACTATTTAACAATAAAATAAAATAAATTTCAAGTTTTATTTTATCACAGCAAAGGTTATCAATGGCATACATAAATCAAATTCAGCTAATAAGCACATAACTCCCAAAAAATATACATATCAATTGAATGTAGAGTACTTAATGAATATTAATCACATTAAAAACTTTCAGACGTTGTGGGTTCAAATTTTCTACAATAATATGATTTATAATTAAAATACACTTATAAATTTTAATTAATATATCAAAAACAACAAAAAAATTTCAGTTATATCTTCTGGTATAATTCAACAGTAAACAAAAGGAATCAAAGTTCATCAGATTGCTTTTAAATAACAACTACGAGTTACAAAATGTAATTACTTATTTATTTGGGAAGAATTATATATCAAAGTTTTCCATTGAATTACTTATTTATTAAATGTATTAATGAATAGTTATAATAGTTTATATAATTCGTTGTTGCATATTTTGATAAAAAACTGGAAAAACATTTACGACAATGGAATTCTCTTTATTGACGTGAGTCACACCACGTGTAGTTTTGGTTTTGGTTTTGATTTAAGACTAATGTAATTTCTAAGGTATATAAATTAAATAGTTAAATTACTTACCTACTGAGATTACTTTTGAAAAATGGAGAACGGAAAACAAAAACAATATTTTAATCGAAATCATTACACGGTAATGATATATTTACAAAATGTGGATGAATTTGCTGATACATATACGATTTCACTTATTACATAGTAACACTTCAAACTCAGTAAAATAACAACTTCGTTTCTACATTCGAAAATGATATTCTTAACATTCAACGTGTAATGAAATAAATATTATTTGAAAAATCACTTGAATCTCAAGCAAATTCACTCAGTCTTAAGCAGGTAGGAATGAAGAAATGCTCGTACACCCGCGAAAACAAATCACAAATACAGGATATGACGTCACAATATAAATATGCATGAGAACAAAAATAATCTAATAATCCAATAAAAATTAAATGCTTAATTAACTATTAATGTTGCTATTTTAATTTTTATTTTCATTAATTTTAATAGTACTAAATTGTACGTCTGGAAATTTATAAGGCGATAGGTAATTGCTCTAATAATCGCATTAGGCGCTTACATTTTTTCTGAATTAATAGAATTAATCATTTCCTGATTAGGAAATTTCTCTAAAAATTATTAAATCAACTCGGAATTCATTATAGAAAAGTAAATCAAATATAGTAAAAAATAATAATGTATTACAAATATTTTTATATAATAAATACAAAAAATTGTATTTGTGGGCTTGGTCGAATCCACGACGAATATGATAAAAGAGTTCTCTTAGTGGCCCAAGTCGAAAAAAGTTTAAAGCAGGGCTGTGGAGTCGCGTAAAAATCTACCGACTCCAACTCCGACTTTTCCTTACCAATCCGACTCCGACTCCGGCTAAAACACCAAAACTCCACGACTCCAACTCCGACTCCGACTCCACAGCCCTGGTTTAAAGAGAAAATAACAACAGTAGCACTTCTCTTGACCGAGGGAGACATTTTTGTTCGAAGGTGCTATGTCATATGACTGGTTGATGGAGAAACAAATTTGTCCACCAACTACGGAATCCTTTAGTGTTCGTTTCGCTTTAAGTTTTGCTTTAAAGCGATGTTTCTCTCCTTAAAGATTAACCAAATTCAAACACTCGATTTTGCATAATTTAAACGTGTATACATTCTCAATCTCAATAATTCAGTAATTTGATAAAGAAATTTGTATTAATTCGAAGTCTATTGCTTATCATTATTTAAATATTTTTGTTTAATATATATCGTAAATTTTCGATAAGTTTTCCACAAGATACGAATTTGATTAATTGCTAATCTCGCTGTGGAGGTGAGATTAAATTAACTCCATGTGACCTAATAAAAAAAACTAGCCTGCGATTACGATGAGGAAAATATAGAAGTATGATATGCTTTAACATATATATGAGCATACATACAGTTAAACTCTGTTAATACAAAGTTGAAAGTTTGAGGGGCCGAGGGGGAAAGATTTCGAAACGAAATAATAACGATTATATGTGATATCGTTCTCGTCTCCAGTGAGATCTGGACTGCTAGCGGTAACAATCAGCGTCGTATGGGAGCGGTTTTGAATGCCTCGTTTACAAACAACACAACCCGTTTATTAGACAATTTAACTCACAAAAAGTTTCATAGTCACGAAAGGTTGAAGTCCTTGTATACTTCGGCGCGAAAGAAGAGGAAAGTCCGGCGAAGAAGGTGATTTCCATTCACTGACCTGATGTTGCAGTCCAGTTGTAGAACAGGAAACGATGTCCGATGAATGCAGATCGGAATGTCCGAAGTTTCTCTCAACGGAGGTCTATAACTTTCAGAGGATACATCGGCAAAGGACGAAGATGGAACCTTGCGGGAAGCACCCCCAACGAGGGACATAGCCTCTTGGGACGCTACGGCAAAGAACGAAGTGTTGTTGTAGGCTGGACTTAAATATCTTTTCGCCTCGCAAATCATCACTTTATTAGTTATTAATCCCCTTTCTCGGTCCCAGATTGGTCTTTCTCTGTTACCAGGTAAAATTAGACCAGATCAGTTCTCGAGAAAGACGATTGTTTATTAGTATAATTCGACATCGTCTTTCGTTCGGTGTTCTACTTTAAATAATATTTCCCTTCTTGTTTGTCTTCTTTCGATTCTGTAAGCGAGAACTAGAAGAAAGCATATTGAGTTCGCTTTCTTGGTTCATCATGTAATCAAGGGCGCGTTTGAAAATTGTAACCGGTTTGTAACACACTTATTGCATAGTACTTCAGTAGATTCTTCACGTTACGAATTAACAAAAATGTCTTCAGTATCTCCACTTATTGTTGGGTTGCAATTTGAAAAACTTGTAGACAAATTCTCACTATCGTCCGTCCGTTCGTCTGTCTTTTCATAACCTCGAGAACTGAGTTAGATAGATGAAATTTGAAACCAAATATAGAAACCTTACGGGTATGAGCCCTGATTAACTATATAAGAACTTCCGATGCAAACCGAAAGTAATTTTATTTCTATTCAAAATCTTTCCTCGAAAGGTGTTAGATGGCAGGCACGACTCTATTGTTAAAGAAAAAGTATAAAGTACAGGGGTAAGCCGCTACTAATTTGAGGTGGCGACATAAATTTTAAATTAAATAAATTAAAAATGTGATTAAAAATTGCAGCCTGGCATTGTGACGATGTCTCAATAAATAATTGCTCGTTTCTTCTGTATTGACTTTGGGTCCCAGATGAGCGACAGTTTTTCAGTATGTTCACTATTTTTACGGGAATTCTTTTCCAACTGACTGAGTGTATCAAAAATATCCTTATTGCAACAAGAACCAGCTCCCAGTCATCCTTTATTACTTGTTTAGTGAAGTAATGAGTAATTCTTGAAACGTTTATCTCACTTTCTTCTTCCCGTTTTCTTTTATTTATGAAATTTTAATACCCGGAAAGTTTATTTTTCTTTTCCTCTTGGGACATCTAATTAAAGAAAAAATACTCAATTATAATAAATTTTATTATTAAAATTGGAAATTTATTAATTTCTTAAACAAAATATCTAAAAGCGTGAAAATTTAATTTTTTTTTTTTCATGGCAGTTTAAACAGAATTAAATAAATAAGAAATATATTACGAGAAAAGAATGATCTTAGTTCAAATTCAAACTTATTTCATGTTCTTGTTAATATGTTATTACTGATGCACAGTACTTTACTGTCCTGTGTCTAATCTAAATTGGCGAAAGTTGTGTTAGCAAGTGTGAATTTTAAAGGGGTTTTTGTACCGTTTTTAATTATTTCAGTTTTATATTTTGAGTTTTTTGTAAGACACGGCTTCAGATCATCTGTTTTTAAAGAGACGAGGCTAAAATCGACTGACGGTGGCCGAGCGGTCATTGTCCCCACACTTGGGGTGGACTTAACCCTGAATATTGGCAGCCGATTGCAGAGACAGAGTTTACGTTAAACGACGTTTTTCAACAGAACGGCCTATAGACGTTGACTGGCTGAACCGCGGTTTAAAATGCATTGCAAAGACGACGATCGTCTATTTCTGACCGTTCTCTGAACGAACTTCGGCAAAACATTGGCTCTTACTTACTTCGCTATTACTCCCCTGTTTTAGGAGTCGTTTGGCCAATCGGGTTATTTGTTTGTGATGTCAGAAATGGTCGCCAGCTATATTCCGAAAGCTTCCAGAAATAAAAGCTTAAGGCCGTCAAAACTATTGTTCATCAATTAATGACAATCCTTTTCCATTTCGATATTTAATTTCGTCGCCAATACGGTTTAAAATGTGAACAAATCCATAGAAAATTTATCCCGAATTCGAAATTCGTCTTCGTAATAAATTTTTAAGGAATTATTTCGACATCTTATTATTGTCGAAATGAATAATTTTAAATATTTTATTAGAGGAGAAGATGATATTATGGAACACTGCGGGTATTATGGAACCACCCCATTTCGAACCGATAATAAAGGCAAACTGTAGCGGAATGTGGCCGAACTGAACTAGGCAGACATCCATAGCAAGGGGAAAACTCGTTTTACTTCAGTTAAACAGTTGTCCATATTTAATCAGCAAATTTGCTTATTTCAAAATTCGCAAGTTTTGAATGCTAAGTGAATTTAATTATTTTTAAAATATAAATCGTGTAGTTGTAGGTTAGGTTCACTGGTGCACGTATTCCGTTCCAGAGACTTAGGGGTACATATTAATCTGTGTGATGTTCACGTTTTTTAAATTTTGGTCTTGACAGACATAAGTTAATTCAAGATGGCGATGCGTGAAATATGGACCCCATTGGTGCTTTTACAGTAATATGGAACTCAACTCCTCCGAACTTTCTATTTGCAAACAGACATTCCTCCGGAGCAATTTGTGAAAAAGACACTAGGTACAAAGTCAATTCTTCCTGAGAATATCGAAAAAGAGCTGCTGGAATATATATTGTTGATGGAGGTCATATTTTTCTATTATAAAAGCATTTTTGCGATAAAATACATTGGAGTAAATAATTTGGTAATTATTTATCATTTTTTGTCCTTTCCTATTTTTTTTTGGCTACATTAAAGCATTTTTTTGGAAATATACAGTAAGGTTCCATATTACCACCCGATTTTCTCTAAGCCTACTTTCGGACTTTTTGTACAAAACCCTTCAAAAACCATACTTATAATTACACTAGCGAAAAATCGAATTAGGAACATTTAGTTTACTAGTTACCGGTACTTTTCGCACAAAAACTGTGGGTGTAGTTATGATACCTTGTTTACAATTCACTAAAATGTAATTGGGGTTCCATAATACCACCTTTTCCTCTATTAATATTACACTTTTTTATATCTATAAACAGATTTCTGTAATTATTAAAATTGTCTCGTTTGTTTAACAGTACAATGACTCCGAAATGCATTAACGTTTTATAACCGACACGATACTCGAATTGTAAATAAATGCATCTGATTTAAATTAATTGAAATTTTAAGTCTTCACCCATTTGAATGTCGAAATTGGAATATTTAAAACAAATTTAAAGTATTTAATTTTGTTGTGTTTGCTCCAAGCAATTAATTAATGAATAATTTTGTCGATTTATACCGTTTACAACATTTATCAAAGGAACGATATCCGCCGGATGGCCGAGCGGTCAAAGTGGCAGCCTTGGGACCGCTCTGGGGGACACGGGATCGAATCCAGACGGGTCGAATAATGCCCAGATATTTTTCGGGGTGGTCCGTCCGGATATGTCGGGCTCATCACTCACCACCCGGCCGCCCCATTGTGGACCTGGCCGTACCTATAATGGGCTTGCAATAAAGAGGCCCTCTTAGTGCCCACAGGACGGGAAGAGTTAAAAAAAAGGAACGATGTCTGT